CATTTTCAGAAAGCTCCTTGTTTTTTTTGACTAATGAAAAAAAATTTTTTTTTTGACTTTCTCTATCAGAATTAACCGTTGCATTATTATGTATTCCACCAAAAATTTTAAACACAAATTCACTTCTTTCTAGTGATAATGATGATAAGAGTCTATCATGTGACATTATATAATATAAAAATATAAAATTCGGCTTGGTATTTTAATGAATAGAGCGGAGTTTTTTTTTTGAGAATAACATACATAAAAGAAAGAAGGTTGCCGTGTTACGGTTACTTTCAATGTTTTTATTTTACCAAATTTGAAATATTTGGTTTCACGGGAAATATTCTGTTGTAAAGATTCGGAGAAAACAAACAAATTTAGACCTGGTTAAAAAAATTTTTATTTTTAATTGTTGATAAAATTAATCTTTGCAAAGGATTTTTTTTTTAACGATCGAAATTCGGAAATAACTTTTGATGTTTACATGAAGCTTATTCTTCTATAACAATAGACTTGAAAAAAACCCCCCTAATTGACTCATTAATCTGGAATAAATAAATAAACATGAGGACAAAATGGGGGGGTTTTTTTTTTAAGAAAAAAAAGCTTGGTTGATTTTTCTAACAATTGAAATTCGGAAATAACTTTTGATTCACATGAGGGTTCTTCTTTGCAAAGAATCTTTTACTAAATTATTAAATTCGTGAACAATTTCCTTTGTATATGTAATTTTTTTAAGTAAAAAAGAAAATAAAAATATTGATATAATAATAATATGAAGCTAATTTTAATGCTCCGAACGAATATATAGATAAAATGTAATGTGTAAAGCCAAATAATACATAGGACGCCATTTCGAATGCAACGTAAAAAGCAAAACAGATGCACCGTTTTTTTGGCCGAGTGGCGATTCTATTTATATGTTTTCGTTGTAATTTATTGATCATGACATAATAGGATGCTAAGATTCTTTACATCCAGTGCTAATTTTGATGCTCCGAACAAATTGAGTCGTGTGGTTTTATAATATAATGATGCCAGAATATCATCGCGCTGTAATACTAATCTGTATTTCACGAAACTCACTGTTACGTTTTGTTTAAAAACTTGACTTTCTTTACGGAGAATGACTTGTAACAACATTTTTCATAGTTTTCTCTAACATGATTAATTGATAAGGATGTAAATTGAGGAAAAAAAACGAAAATTGCATTATTTAAAGAACAGCTTCATCATTACCAAACTCTATTGATTGATTTATTGTGGTTCACAATAAAAGAATTTCGGCATTTCTTTGAAGATTTAAAGTGATAAAATAGAAACAAATTAAAACTTACAAAAATATGTACCAAAACCTCTCCTATGTGCTATGTAAAGGTTGTTCCAAGTACCAATATGATCAACCTATGTTGCTTCAAATTCAGATACTAAAGACACATTATTAATATTATTGCGTATTAATTACTATTGCGCGTAGTTAACTTCAAAAGTCAAAAACTCGAGGAAACATCAATTTAACACAACTTATATGCATGTAAAGACAATTTGATTTTATGAAACGTAATATTATTAATTTGTAAGAAGAGGCTTTTTTATTTTGGGAAAAAATATACAAATGGTTTAATTAAGTAAAATTTCCAATTCAAATTATAACATTTGTAAGCTTCCCAACATCAGGAAATTTTTTCTGACGCGGATTTACGTAATATTACAAATTTGAGACACTGATTTTTCAAGACTTATTCCTTCTTTTAGAAAAACATTAGGAGAGGTTATTAATAAAATAGAGGTGTTAAAGTTTATCAACCAAAGTACCGCATTTGGAAATTAATTATCTATTTTTGGTTATGACTCCTGACAATTTTTTCCTTTTTGTGCATTGATAAATAAATTTATCAAAATTTAGTATGTTTTTTAGAGTTTTTTGCCATTTTCACTAAATTTTAAAAAACAACAATCCACATAAAGCTATACCTAAATGAAAACTTACAATATTTTACATCTCTTCAACCACTCATCAAGTTTGTAAAGGTAATATTGGTAAAAAATCTTAGCTTTGAAGTAAAAATAATGCTGTTTTTGAATAAATATATCTTGACATAGAGAGCCTCTAAAATATGGGAGAGGGCTTGTTAGAAAGCTATAATGTCATAGTTTATCTTTGTTTAATAATGATGTTTGAATTTGTTATAAAAATAATGAGATATTTTTAAAAAACTAATTTGTTACACGAGTCGGATTTTCTATTTTATATATGTAATTACACCTCCTGTGACATATTGTTTATATAAATTGGCTATAATGAAATTTTTTGTTTAATAAAAAAAAATAGGGATAAGATTTTGTTCGGTATAACAAAAATCCTTTATAATGAGGTTTGACTGTAGTCCAAAAAAATAATTTTGAATATGATTTATTATATTAATATAATGTTAATAGGGTATTTTTTATAGGCCAAATGCAACTTCCAACATTTTTTTAATTAACACACATCACAAAGAACATTTTGAGTTTAATAAAATTCAATTTCCATCCATATTCAGATTTCCTTTATATAAATTAAATAATGGTTGTCATTTTTTTTTTTTCAAAATGTTTTTTTGTCTTTGGTCTCTTTATATAAAAAACCCTCAAATAATGGAAATAAAAAGATTAACAAATATTTGTCAATAATTTGGTATTAATTATATTATTAACTATTTTTACAAAATATTTCATGTTTACATTATCATTCTATGCATATGATTGATTGTCTTGACAGTATCTTTGTCATAGTAATTATTACTATTTAGATTCTAATGAATGAATTATCAATATCATTTTATTCAAATCAATAAATTAAATAGTTTGCCAATATCAATTTTCTCAATTTATTTATTGACTAATACTAATTTGATTATTATCATTAATATGTGAAAAATTATGATGAATGTCATACATTGATCTAGAAAGTCATTTAATTTGTAAATAATTTTGTAACCCATCAATATTAATTAATTAATTAATATTGTTAAAATATAAATTCTATAAATGCTTTTACATGTACAACTTATTGACCAGAATATTTTTCTTCTTTCCTTTTTTTTAAAAGATGATAATCATAATTTTCTAGAATTAAATTAAGAAATGTCTATTTTTTTCTAAAAACCCCAAAATTAATTATCAATAATTTGTAAAGGTTTTGAAAGCTACTCCAATCAATCTTTTAACACTTCTCCATTTTTTTTTCTTTACTGCTATACGAATTTTTGTTAACATAAATTCCCTATGTTCTTCTAATTCTGCTCTGCTATATTTACCTTTACTTGGACCAGCTACTTGTAGAACAGGAACTTGTTCTTGTAAAGACTTATTAAATAAATAAAGTTTAGGTGGATTGTCATTGAATCTTACAGAAAGTGTTGACACCTTAATTTGTTCATCACCAAGAAGTAAAAAAATTTAATTAATTAATTAATTACATATATTAATAAATCAAACTATTTTACAAGTTACCTGATTTGAATTTGTTTTCAAAATGCCATTTTTAGTACAAAGCCATCTGTGCTTAGGAATTATTCTAGAACTCTTTATTATAAATTTACTAAACAATATTGTCATAAATTTTGATAAATAATTTTGATCAATTCTTTCTATAAAACTTGGTAATATTATTGGTAAAATCCTATCAATTGCCAATAAAATCAATAAACGAGTTACTACAGAATTATCAATGGTTGAGGAAAGAAGGAGAGAAAGAGTTGGATGATTTTGTTGAAAAAAGTATAATATTTTCTTTAAGAAGCCTTGCAATATAAAAGGTAATGCTCGATCTACTATCTTTGGTAATAAATATATCGGTATTGGATAGGATTGTCGTCGTTTTAAATAATAATTGCCATTATTGTTAATACTAACAATATTATTATTATTTATTGGTAATGATGTTGGTGGTAATGATTGATGAACTTTTTGTGATGTGGGATGTTGTTTAAAAGATAAAGTAATGTCATTGTTTGCACATGCTGCAATTGCAAACGTTGATTTTTTGATGTTGGCAGTGGCGGTGATTACATTTGTTGGAGACATTTCTGACAACTATTTTTATTAATAATCTCTCATGTTATTAATTTAATTCGGTTACACCTAATACTAATTTATTATATGGGGCATACCAGACAAAGTGAACATTGGTATTACCAAGAATTTCAGGGATCAAAATTTAGTCATTATTATCACAATTACATTGTAATTATAATTTAACAGTCCAATTTGTTATCTTAAGTGATATATAGAAT